CTGGGGGTTTAGCTGGGCCAGAGGGGCGGTCGGACATCACGCGGGCACCGCTTCACAGGAAGCCAAGGCTTGTTTCTCAACCTTCTCATGACACGCACCTCCTCCTCCTTCCACCAAGAGTTGCGGCCTGGGCTTGTGTCACCAGCCAGGAAGAGGATAAACTTAGCTGTTTTTGTGACAATCATTTAAATTTTTTAAAAGGAATTTACCACTTTTATTCAGCAAGAATATGTATTTCACAATATTACTGTTTTAACTGTATTTTTGACAAATAAATGCATGAGACATTTCAAAAACATTGAAAAAATCTTACCGGACCCAACTTTTGAATGGTTATGTAAAGTTCTTTTTTCCATTTTTTAAATAATGTAAATATGTATTCTAACGTGTTCATTTCTTTTAATAAAGAACTAAATTTTCTTTGAATTTTATGAATTTTCATTCATTATTTCGAGAAAGGTGCTATATGTATTTTTTAGCGGCCTCTACCGGTGATGTTTCAGATTGCAACCAATTTTTACAAGAGCGCGCGTGCTCGAACACAAGAGCGCGCACTCATGGTACCGGCCACACTGAGACTTTCAACACACCGGAAAAAGCATCACACAACATGCTGGAAACTCATGTAAACTCCCACTGCAACGTTACAATAATAGGCTACTTTTATCAGCTTGACGTTGAACTAATGCTCCATGCTCGTACCATGATAACGTTACATTGACTGCATTTAGCCGGCATGTGGTGTTAGCATAAGGCATTTCACTAACTATTCGTGTCTTTCACAATCAGGCAGCAATGTCAACATAGATGAATGTATAATATAATAACGAAAACGGTTAGTGACTAGACTGAACAATTTCAGTGTAACAGTAAGATCGTAGGAAGTAACATTACTGTACTGAACATGTCTGAAAATTATAAACAATATGATAGTAGTGGGATGAGTGACGTTAGACAGTAGATCTAGTACATAAAATGAAAGTTACATCCTAAAGCACCTACTTTTTGTTATCCTGGAACAGTCTTTTGTATTCATTTCATGTCTCATGTATGTTGTAGTTTACCTTGCCATTTCATTACAGTTTACCATTATTTATTTCAGCATATCTGAAAACTTGTAATTTATCACAATAAAAATAGCGGAGGTCTCTCCATAATTCAAACGCTCTGCCGATGTTGATCCGTGTTTTCGTCCTAAGTCGATCCGATTCACGTTTGGCCTGACGAGCTTCAGCAGATACAGTTTTGTTTTTTATATTTATGTGGAGTTTGTGTTGGAGTCTGTGTTGTGCTGGAGGCAGGTCGTGTTTGGTGTTATCAGACTCCATGTCGTCAGCTGCAGTGCCGTCGCATAGACTGTATATAAAAAGGAGAGAGGCTCGGGAGCGCGCATGCACGTCACATCCGATGGCTTTCGCAGAAAATCCGACCCGGAGACTTCACATAGAAATAGGAATACTGGCCTTCAGAGGTAATAGCAAAACCCGACAAGTGGATCATTGTAATGTGTGATTACAACCCCTTCACACACAGGCAATAAAAAAAGGATTCATTTTAGAAGAAAAGTTACATTTAGCACCTTTAATAAACAACACATTTTTAATTCTTTTTTTATTAAATATTCTGTAAAATAAGTTTTCATTTAATATACATTTTTCGGGAGCTCAGTAAATATTGTGTAATATCAGGGTTTGTTTCATTAGAGCAGCTTTGTGTATATCTCATTTGTTATTATAATGTATACATAATACAATTTATGTATATATTTGTATTAGGTCAAACATTGCTCACCCTGCTCTCTTTAGATTTCATAACGGTGCCAGCCATTGAAAAAAACATATTTGTTGACCACTATTCCTTTAAATTATGTCCCAACCAATGTGACATGTTAAGAAGTGATAAAACCTCTCCCGTGTAAACCATTTTGATTTGGTTCTCTTATAAATTTTGCTCAAACCATCTTTACCGAGAGACGGACTATATCTTGGTCTCTCTGATGTAGCGCCTCCACCGATTAGCCCGTCCACAATAAAATCTCATTGTTCCTGAATCCTTCGCTTTAACTGTATATTAAACAAAATATATTCATTGGTTCCGATTGTGTTGCATCAAGCAACATTTCTGCTTATGTGAACAGGCAAATTACTGGTCACCTGAAACTTGTTGCGTCGCACCTGTTAAGGACACTGCATTTGAGAAAAACACTACACAAATAAAACTCACCTGTCACTTACATACTGAGGCTCAAACCACTGATATTGGCTCAAGTTTAGTCAAGTTCTATGTGTAAGGTCTAAAAGTGTGACCTGTCTAACTCCGCAAGCTTGTCAAGGATTTAAAGTAGCAAATTTGCTCAGTCCATTTCTCCCACTGTCAGAAATGTGAGGGCAGAACATGAGCTGCCTGCATGCTTGGGATGACTGAAAGCCTAGGCTGATGATGTCATGTGTCAATCTTCCTGACTCATCATTTGTCTAATTGAGCTTTGAATCATGGGACAGGGAGAGGCCCTTTCCCTCCCTTAACCGTCTGATTCGACATTCCACTTTAATCCTTAACTAATACTGCCTAATTCTCCAGCACACGATCACACCACCCCAGAGGCCATGATTGTACACACACCATCAGATAAATAGCTCACACACTGTGCGCTACGGCCAACTACTCACCAAAAACTTGCCCACTATGGTTCCTTACTCACATACGCTCACACAACCCCTCCACGTCGGTACATCACTGCACCCTGCATGCTTCTTGACTCATAATCGCACAGGCATAGTTTCGGCTCGGCCCACACAGACGCTGACCTACTGGGTTCAAACGCCCATCATTTGATAATCTTTCAGATTTGTCAGAGGTTGGCACACATCCTCCGACACACATAGGGAGCAGCTTCTTTTAGTGTTTCAGAAACATATGGCATTCCCGAATGAATTTATTTTTTATTGAATCAAATCTGCACTGCGCAGCAAATGTGGACCGATTCCCTAAAATAAATTACTCTTATGTGTTGGTTATTTTAAGTGAGTAGAACAAACACTACCTGTCTGAAGTTTAGGGTCAGTACTTTTTCTTTTTTTTTTCTTTTTTGTATATTGCATTTTGAAATTTTAAGCAGCACAACTGTCTTTAACATTGATAATGATGTGACACTGATGACTGGAGTAATGATTCTGAAAATTCAGCTTTGCCATCACAAGAATAAATGACATTTTAAAATATATTCAAATAGAAAATAGTTATTTTAAATTGTAATAATATTTCACAATGTTACAGTTGTTACTGGATTTTTTAGTCAAATAAATGCAGTATTGGTGAGCATAAGAGACTTCTGATCAAAAACTTTTGATTTAATTTTGAAATTAACTGTGAAACTTAAATCAGTGTGATTCATGTGACTATGTAGTTGGATGGAAACAATCAGTTTTGTCAGTAGTATTTTATAAACATTTATTATTTTATTTAGTATATTTTTCTTTATTTTTATAAATGTTTCAGTGTTATTGGTATTTTATTAAATGTATTATGTGACCCTGGACCACAAAACCAATCACAAGTAGCACGGGTAAATTTGTGGCAATAGCCAACAATATGGCTATATTGAATGGGTCAAAATTATCGATTTTTCTTTTATGCCAAAAATCGTGAGGATATTAAGTAAAGATCATGTTCCATGAAGATATTTTGTAAATTTCCTACTGTAAATATATCAAATATTTATTTTTGTGAGTGAATGCAGCACAATCGCAAACATAAATGGACAACTTTAAAGGCGATTTTCTCAATGTTTCGATTTTTTTGCACTCATATTCCAGATTCCAGATATTTATTCTAAATATTGTCCTCTCCTAACAAACCATACATCAATGGAAAGCTTATTTATTCAGCTTTCATATGAATTATAAGTCTCAATTTCAACCATGTGAACCATGAACCATGTGACTCGTTTTGTGGTCCAGGGTCACATTATTATTAGTAGCATTTATTGACATCATAATTAGGTAATAGAATGGGGAAAAAAGGCTTTTTTTAAATAGATATCACTTTAGTGTGTTTTGGGCAGTTGCCGTAAGTTTTGCATTCAGTTGCTAAGGAGTTCTGCATGTTGCTATGCCGTTGTTGTGATGTTCTGAGATGTTGCCAACCTTCAAGTCTTCGTGGTATTCTAGTCCCTAGATATGACTCAGATTCCTTCAATGAAGGTCTGATCACTTAAAGTAATAGCACACCTCGTTTCCGCTTGGCTGTAGTTATGGCTGAAAGAATTCATTCCTTTCGCATCCTCTTCCTCCATCTCTCGTCCGACACCTTCACCTCCATCAGCTATACAGTCAGCCCTGACGACACGTCATCCCTTTTTAAAGGGTGAATCACCAGCCATAGTTCACATCTGTTCTCAGCTCAAAGAACCTAACCAGGGAAAACAAGCAATTACCGGTGGGCTTTTTCAATCAACTCTTTGGCGAGTCAGCTGGGGGGCTTGGGATGGGGGGAAGGTGGGCGGAGGAGATAATTAGACATGGTTAAAAATATCCCAGCTCATTGTCTCCGCTGTCCCACATCCTCAGATAAGTATGTGGCTACTGGCGCAAGGATCATGTGCTACTGGGAGGAATGTTTTAAATGCTTGAGATTGTTACGTGCAGCTGAACGGCTGCTGAGACTCACATGACCAGGGTCGACATGCTTAGAAGAAGCTGTTTGTATGTTTTGACTGCTTCTCAGAACAAGATGAAAATGCTAAGAGCTGGCCACGTTTCTAAATCATGTTCATTCTCACACTTTACACATGCATTTTCACATTTGTTTGATCACATTCAATGTACAATACACATGATGTATTTTCATGGTTTTATGTTTTTTCCCCAAAATGTTTTACTTGTAGTCCCTCCAAATATTGAATCATTGATACATACTGCAGTTGTTTGTTTCTGCCTATATCTGAATATGTATATGGTTGGTAAAAGAACAAATACTTATACAATTTCCTGTTTCTGCAGCCTTCACTTCCTGTCCTGTATACTCTATCCAGTCAAGCAACCCATGAGGCCGTTCACCTCCTCTGCAGGATGTTGGTCTTTGACCCAGTAAGTGTTCTTGATACTCTATTCTCTTAAACTGGAAGATTACAAACAAAATGATTTACATACACACACACACATATATATATATATATATATATATTTTTTTTTTTTTTTTTTTTTTTTTTTATCTAGAGACCTATAAAATATATATATAAAATGTATAAATAATATTACATGAATAATATAATATATTTAAGATTATTTGTATAAAGCTTTGTATTTTCAAATTTTTTTAATGTATAAATTTAACATATATGTATGTAGCTACATGAATTTATATATATTTATATATATATATGATTTTGTTTAATATTATTAAAATTGTATTAAAATTATTACATTTATTATTTTATTTAATGTATACAGTGTGTATATATATATATAATATATAATTATATATATATATATATATATACACATTTCATTTAAAAAATATAAGTAAAATAATATATGTGATTCTATATTATTAAAATGAAATTTTATTTTATTATATAGATTATATTTTTTTTAATATACAAAATATTATATAAAATAATATATGATTATTTATACATTATTAAAATGAAACTTTTTTAAGTTAAATTAAAATTAATAATTTAAAATATTTTTATATAATTTATATTAATTTGTAATATAAACATTTCATTTTCAATTTAAAACATATCAGTAAAATAGATTTTGAAAAGGAAATTTCAATCAGAACAATTCTGTTCCCCAATCCAGTCGAAGCGGATCTCTGCGAAGGACGCCCTGGCGCACCCGTATCTGGACGAGGGGCGTCTGCGGTACCACACCTGCATGTGCAAATGCTGCTACACCACATCCTCTGGCCGCGTCTACACCAGTGACTTTGAGCCTGTCACCAACCCCAAGTTTGACGACGGCTTTGAAAAGAACCTGACGTCAGTTCGGCAGGTCAAAGGTTAGCGCGGCGCTCTCCCCTGTTGATGATGATTCATTCAGGTCTATTACACATTGTGCTGATCACAGTGCATATTACACAACACGTGAGCCAAACATTGTTGCTCTATTAATTTACACTTTTGTCCTGATCCACCTTCGGTTTGTAAACAACGTATATAAGAACTACAGGTCTTAATTGAATTGGGCCTATTTGAGAGAATAGGCCCATCATGTCACTGCATGTTAATCAAAAGTCTTGCTGGGCGTCTCCTGCTCCAGATCCCCTGCTGCTCCTGTTGTTTTTCTGCCTTGTTTTCACCCTTCATTCGGGGCCCCTGGATCTGTGCTTGCCTTCCACTGTCAGTGGGTATTAGTGAGAGTCTGTCGCTAAAAGCAGGCTTACTGTGCTGTCGGCTCAAAATAACTCTGCCCTTCACCCTCCCTCCTCATCCTCCATCCTGCGTGCAACGTGTTTCCACTGGAGGATTAATCTGTGCGGATGGAGCCGACCGCCTAGAGACCTAAAGCGCTTTAGGGTAGGCAGCCGTGTTTGGAAAGCGAGGGGAACCCCTTTTGGATCGGCACATGAGTTTCCACGTTGCCAGAGCTAGTTTAAGCTTAACAGCTCGTCTACTAAATTAAAGAGCACAGCGTTTTAGAAGATATTACAGATATTAGTCTGCCTGCAGAATATTCCTTCAAAATCAACTCTTTGACCTGAAATTTTACTGCTAGAATAGATCTTCACTTCATTCATAGTTTAGATTTGGAGTCCTAGTCTGTAAGGAGTGTCATCCAAGCCAGTTACATCGCTCCACCTTCTTTGTTACAAGGAATGATGACAAACTTGTCTTTTTTTTTTTAACTATGCCTTTAACAGGTAAACAGGTTTAGCTTGCTGTATACTTGTTAAAGGGTTGGTTCAACCAAAAATTTTATTTCAGTCATTAATTACTCACCCTCATGACGTTCCAAAGCCGTAAGACCTTCGTTCATCTTCAGAACACAAATGAAGATATTTTGATTAAATCCGAGAGCTTTCTGACCCCCCCATAGACTGCAACGTTATTACCACTTTCAAGGCCCAGAAAGGTTGTAAAGACGTGGTTAAAATAGTCCATGTGACTACAGTGGTTCAACCTTAATTTTCTGAAGTGACAAGAATATTTTTTGTGTGCAAAAAACCCCCCAAAATAACGAGTTTGCTCAACTATCTGTTCTCTTCCGTCAAAACATTCTGTCATCATTTACTCACACTCATGTTATTCCAAACCCATATTTTCTTCGACATGAGCATAGGAAGAAATGTTAAACATTTTTGTGAACTATTCTTTTAACCATGATTGCATGTAACTTTTAAACTGTTATTATTTACAACTGTAACCCGTTATTATTGCTTATTTCTCATCATCCCTCCTCTTTTTCCCCCACATAGAGATCATTCATCAGTTCATCCTGGAGCAGCAGAAGGGGAATCGGGTACCGCTGTGTATCAACCCCCAATCAGCTGCCTTCAAAAGCTTTATCAGGTGAGTCCCCCCTTTTTCTGTTCATACTCTTTATTTTTATTGGTGAATCTCAAGTTCAAATGTTCAGGTCATATTTCCAAAATTAAAAAAGTGTTTTGGTTCATAAAGATTTGTAGTTTTTTTTTTTTTGATGTACTTTATGATTTAAATAATATATAGTTAATTTGTATTTAAGAAAAAATATATTTTTTATTTATTCAGATTATAATAATTATTATTATTTTACATTTCAGAAGTGAGAATGAGATAATTTTTCACATTACAAGAGCTGCTGATAATTGTGAGCGTGATCAGTTTTATGAAAATAATATAAATAATATTTATTTTTATTATAAATATACTTTTTATTTAAATTTTGTGAGATTCACCTTCATTTCTATGTTCCTAACCTTAGAGTTAACAGACTTGCGTGAATCAAGCGTGAACGTCATGATTTTTTTAACCATGTTTTTGCTTTGGGTTGCCATTGCCAACAAGCAATTATTTCATATTTAGGCAAACTTTTTACGTAAAAGAGTGTTTAATGTATTTTTAAACTATTATTGGTGGTAACAACTACTGCAACTTTAGATATCCTGATGAATCTAGTGCTTTTCAAGCATATCTTGCAACTTATTTTCTAGTGTCTCAACACTAGATGGAGACATCACCTTATCCTTAAAACAAGACATAACAATCCCTTTTCTTTCTTTCTTTCTTTCTTTCTTTCTTTCTTTCTTTCTTTCTTTCTTTCTTTCTTTTTTTCTTTCTTTTTCTCTCTCTTTCTTTCTTTCTTTCTTTCTTTCTGTCCACAGCTCGACAGTAGCTCAGCCCTCTGAAATGCCTCCATCTCCTCTAGTTTGGGAGTAGCTGAGGATGGCGGAGAAGACGGCGTTGATAACAGTGGCGGAGGACGTCCCTCCTGCGTCCACCCTCGTCCCCCACGGACTACTGATCCCCAGGCTTCCCCAAACCTGCGTAGCATTGCACTGGAGTCTAGGACTAGCCATGTCGCTGATGTGTGTGTGTACTGTAATACTTACTAAATGGGAGTTAATAGAAGCAACCACTGCTGATGAGTTCAAGCGGGACACGGGAAGGGTGGGCCTGGTCACGGGGGGTCCGTTCGTACATACCCACTGCTCTGTAGTAGTATACTGAAGGTTCGCGCTCGTGAACCCATACTTTCGGCAGACGAAGTCGACCCCTGTGGACTTGAATGTATTTTGAACAGCAGGGCAGCAGAATCTGCGCCGTATCCCTGAAGGAAAACTCTTAACGACCATGTGTGCGAGTAAATCATGCTTTATTTATTCATGGAAACAGAAAGTGCAGTGCTTCATGTAGTATGGAAAGATTTTATTTTTTTTGCTCATGCTAGCACCTTACTGAAAACCAGGGCCATCGTCTAGAGTGGAAAACCGCTGTCCCGGCCCTCAAAGGTCCTCTGTAATAGCATATTCATTAGGCCAACCCATATAAATTTGTCCCGGGCCATGTCAATTTTAGCGACGGCCCTCGTAAGAACTGTGACCACTCGTTCGGCTAGAGTGAGCTGCTCATTGCGTTTATTTCCTGCAACAGCGGTGTGATTTTTATGACTTTCTTCCATTTATGCTGTCATCTGCGCTCTTCCTTTCTTTCTCTATCGATCTATCTTTGTTCGCATCTCGCTTTCCGTCTCATATTCAACTTTCGTCAGTAAAAGCAAATCAGTATTCTTTAGCGCAGCACTTGGCAGAGATACTGATTCATAGATACTGTTTCATAGGTTTCTCTTAGTACTCCTTAATGTGGATGTGATGTCAGTATTTAGTACTTCGGGTGGGTGAGTGACTGAATGGCACAGCGGTTGAGGATCCAAAGCATGCGACATTGGCTCGAAAACGAAATGCTCGTGCCTAAAGGGTTTATTTGAAGCAAAGGAGTCTTAGAGTGTGTGTCCAGAAATCTTGCAGGTGCTTGTCTCCTACCAAGACTGAAAACCCAACTAGCATGTAGCGACATAATATAGGGAGGTTGTTTTCAGATGACCTTCGAACCCTGCTATCCCTGATGGAGTATCTAGAATAGCATGCAAACCAAATTAAAAGCCTAAAAACTAAAAAAAGCTAAGAAATTAGATAAATAATAGGTTGAAGTGTTGGTCAACCAAACCATTCCTTAATTGCAATGGTATATTACCAAACCTTGTCCGTGAAGACAAGTGACGAACACCATTGTGAGTGCATGTATGGACCCGTGCATGTTTATAACTGACTGTGGCATCACGCGAGTGATCCTGTGTATGTCAGTTCAGTGTCGTCTTCTTTGACCCCCCCCTTCAAAAGCTCTTTTTCTGTTGAAAGACTTGTGGAGAGGATGGATCTGAAAAGGGTGCCTGGGAATGGCATATGTTGTGTGTCTGGAAAGCATTTGGAAGTCGTTTTCACTCACTGTACCATGCTTAAATTTCCCATAATGCTTTCTGCACTCTCTCAGACTAAAAGTAAACAAATGGAAAATATTTAATATATTTTTAGATAATTATTTTAATTTCCTCCTCAATGTGCTATGGCATGCTTTCCCATGATCCACTGAGTATGGTATGTAAATAAGCGAGTAGCAGGTAGATTTCATTAGAAACACAAAATCTACAAAAAACTAAAACAAACGACGTATAAAAAAAAAATCGCCAAACAAAAAAAAAACTATGTAATACTGCTGTATAGAAGTTCAATTAGCCTGCACATTTTTTAGGGCTGTGAAATTTTATTTTATTTTTGAGACTTGCATATAATTGTACAGATTTTTTTTCTCTCTTTTCTTCTTTTTATTTTCCCCTGCACTAGAAAGTGTAGACAAAGAAATAATCCAAAACAGTATAAGTACAAAAACAAACAAAAACACATAACCAATTATGTTAATTGTGTCTTGTGTGCTGCAGAGCTGTGGATATGAGTATTGAAGTAGAGCCCTTTTTTAATTATTATTATTATTATTATTAATTTCCTTTAAAGAAACACTGAACTGTTTGTGTATATGTATATAATGGATTCACATTGTTGGTCTCTACCTCTCGAGCTCAATGACTTGGTTGTTTACCTCCACGCTTTTATTTTTATGTGGAGATTTAAAACTTGAATGTCCCTTCCGACTTTTATATTCCTATAAAACCCTGTATAAAGAAATCAAAGTCATTACATTTGCGATTGGTTGGAGTTGGTTCCCATCATCATATTCTTGTACAAAGTACCATATTCTCACCCCAGTGTTTTCTGACTGTTAGATCACACAGCATACTTGTCCTGCGAGACAACCTAAGATAATTGACATGGCATCCTTCACCGAGAGACATCGGATGAGATAAACGTACAAAATATGTGGCAGTTTTAGAACGTACAAGAAGCAGGCGTATCTGAGATAACGTGCGGATTCAAACTGAGCCTGTGAGACGAGACTAACACGCAAGCACGAATGGGCCAAAAGGGGAAGGTACTGCACTTGCTGTCAAGTTTTATAAGGAAGTTTGAAGTTTATACTCAGAGTTAATGGTATTTGAATACATTTTACGACATATATGACTATAATATAAAATTCGATGCCCTGAAAGCGGAGGAGATGATTCTTAGGGACCGGAAGGACTCTGTGGATGTGTTCTGTGTTTTGAAAAATCACCGGTCTCTTTTCAGAGTGTAGATTTGAAGTACAGTGGTGAAGCTCATTAAATGTTGACATTTAAAAAAGCAAGCTGTTTCTGTCCTTTTTTTTTTTTTTTTTACTTACAAATATGTGGATTTAGCAATAGATTTTTAAATGTTCTTTACTGCATGTTTCATGATCAAAAAATAATGATCAAGTTAAATTGAGCACCGAATTGCTAACTTCAAATGCCAGTATTTGGAAAGGTGTTTAATTTGTGTCTGTCTGTTTTAAAAATGAATTTGCTTATGTTGGTTTTTACTTCTGAAAGGTGCTACGGTCACACTCAGGCACATTATTGTTTTTGTTTAACTTTTATAAATTATGATTATATGCTTATGTACACAATGGCAATTACAGAGGATGTTCCAATAGGATGGAAATAAAAAGGGATTGGGTGTAAACTTAGATGAGGGTACTACCAACTTAAAGTTAATTATGATATTAACCATCGTTTTAAATTTTGATAATATCATACCAAAGAGAATGGAGTGTTTTAGAGTAAAACAACTAATATAAATGTTTGCTGCTGTTTTCCCACCAAAATGATGTCACTCCCTAGGGATGATGTCATTACAGACTCGGATTTTATTTTTTAGATTATTGGTGAGTGCGATTTTATGGAAGACAAACAGAATGGACCATGAAATTTAGAGCACAGAAGAAGAAAAAATCTTATAAATCAGGGAGTCAAGTCTGAAAACCATTCAATTAAAACATTTTGTTTAAAATGTTCGATTGGATTAAAAGAGAAACACTTCTAAATATTTCTTTAAAAATGACCTTTTTTCAGGCATGTGCTCAAACCAAAGTGGAATTATTTAAAACTGTGCTCATACCTGTGTTCATTTAATTGTAATAAAAAAAAACTAATGTAATTTCTTTAACATGTGAGATATAAATGCACTGAATTAGGATTACTTTATTACATTCACACAAACGAAACGACAACAACTATGTTTGTAACGTCATGCAACATTCTTGTAACAGCCAGGTTTCGTTGAGGTGTTAATGCAAGAAACAGCTGAGGTCTAAATGTGACCAATGGAAAAGTACAAACTGTTTGGGAAATAGGCAAAACTGGGGGAATGTTCCAGAAAGTTCAGCTCAGTAAAGCGGTTTACACCTCTTTCAAGTGTAATTTGGTAAGAAATGATCTTTCATTCACAACTATGTTTTATGAATCTTATTTTGAATCTACACTGCTCAGCGAAGATTAACTCCCGGTTTCACAGACGAGTCGTGAAGTGGTTTCAATTGTTCTGTAAATAACTTCGCAGAGATCTTTGATGCCAGACATAATTAGACTTTATTTTCGAACGCCGAACGGAACGGCGCTCTAACGCTCTGGCCCTTCGGCCTTCTAGCGCTCCCGAGTGTTTTGGGATTCAGAGTTATATACATACATCCTTTTCCAAAGATGGTCATACACTTATAGATAGTTTTGGGTGAAGGTCTTGTACCATGTGACATACTGAAATAGAATTGACATTCAGGGTCTTTTTACAGAAGGTCTTGCAGCTTTCAAAGTCACCTAGACAGAGTCATATTAGAGGAAATAACTCATAAAAGAAATAATTGTGAATTCTTATATAGCTAAATTACTTAGTTTCTAAGTAATAAAATCTTCAACATTCCCTCCTCTGAGGCTTATCTAAGCCTCACTTTCACCTTCCTGTAGTTTCAAAATACAGCCCCCTTACTTATGCTACCTAGTGACTAAATTGACCGTTCGCAGGCCCCTCCCACAAAACGGCCATTGTCCAATCACACATCAACTAGTGATCTTAATATGGGAAGTACACAACAGAATAATAACCCTCCTATTAATATTGCAACACCTAAGAACATTCCTAATTTTGCAAACCATGCTTCCAGTGCTCTAAAGTCACGTTTTCCTTAACTTCTGCTCTTAAGCTTTTTTCTCCCACTTAATCGTATGGTTAAATTTTCCCTGCGCAGTATTATTTAGTAAAAGTGCAACACTAATCTCCTAACATTAGAAGTCATTCTACTTTTTTCTCATAATTGTTTTTCTCCTAATGTAGACAAAGCATTATAATAAATCTCTGCTTATTATAGTATTCTAATTGATTCATTCTGCATTTTTGTTTCGCATGATCCATATGACTATTAATTCAAAATATGGCTGGGTAAAAATACCTCTTTCCTATTTTTAATCGCTTCTTATTTTTATGAAGGAATATCAATTCTTAAATTCAAAGAATTCATCTTTTAGTCAGTCCTTTTTAGTTGATGAACGAACAGAACACTTTAGTGAATCTTCTATTTAATTAATCGCAATACACTTTAACAGTTGTTATAAAGTTTTACATTTCACATTCTGTCAATTTTATTTCCAAATTTAATCAATGAATACTCTTTGACTTTTTTAATCTCACGTATTGTAGCTTCTCATTCTCATTGTAGCTCTTCAGTTCAAGACTACCTTAACTGAATACCTTTTCTTCTTTACTAATTTCTAAATAAACCATCATGAATAAACTAATTATGTCTCATGTAATCACTCTAGCTAAGAAAGCTTCAGAGCAATGTTACAATCATACAAGTCATTCAATAAACTCTGACAATTAGAAAAATAACTCTAGAGAACAACTTTTTGCACTCTTACATATTCCTTATAAGTACATTTCTTTTTTCTGTATATCTAACAATCTAAAAGTTTTTATATCAACCATTTAAACCATTAGCATCATAACTTCCTTATTATTAAAACTTCCTTGTGTTCGTATGCAACTTATTTTTAATCTTCAATACTTCTGTTTAGCTGACCCATTATCTGACCTTATTTAGACTTCTAATCTAAGGATTACTTTTCTGTTAGAGACTTAATTTCTGTTCCTGCCCCTGCTCTGTTGATTTCATTGCTTTTACCCATCTATATCATGTCCACATATTCCTTACCAAATGTTTTAATAGTTCTTCTGGTATACTGACATATGGCCTATTTTTGTCACTGTTCTTTTCTTACCTTTGTTTTTGCCACAAATTTCACAAAACTTTGGAAAAATGCCTTTTAATTTAAAATGCCTTTAATTTTAACTTCATTTTAATTTAATTTCCTT